ATTGCCCTGCAATAATAATAATAATAATAATAATAATAATAATAATAATAATGTTGATGATGATGATAATAATAATAATGATGATAATAATAATAATAATAATGTTGATGATGATGATGATGATAATAATAATATCATTATTATTATTATTATTACACCACAGTATAATACTGGAATTAGAGCTGAATCTAAGACCATCACAAACAAACAACAGCGAGTAGACTCTACATCCTCCATGGGTCTTTAAGCTCTAAAGATTTTTAAGTGCTTTTATAGTTGATGCTCCAGTTGAGAGAGATGTTCCTCAAAGAGTAAAGTCCACAGGGGGTTTAAGCAAGACCCATGCAGCTCTACGCTACTGTTACTGTCTGTTAGTCTGAGGGAGAGACACATGCACTGGTGGACCGCTCTAGTGGCCTCTACAGTACTTACCTGATGGCACGCTACCTAGTTCTGTTTGAATTCAGGCAACACAAAAACAAAAGCAAATCAAAATCAAACTTAAGTGATCTCAAAGGAACAAGTCTAGAGAACGAAAACCAAACAGCTAAATGTGAATTGTGCGTTTATGTGTGTCAGACCTTGGAGAGCATTCCCGAGCAGAGCGTCCAGCTCAGGGTTGAGCTCTGCTTTCTCCTTCAGCATGTGGAAGAGCAGCTGGTTCTGTGTGGCGCTGTTTATCTCCGTCTGTTTCAAACGGCCCTCCATCACTTTGATCTGAGACTCCTTCTGTGCAGTTTGTAAGCCCTGAGAACAAGTGTTGGACATTGAAATGTTTGCGGGTGGGAAAAAAATATAAACCCATATTATTATACCAATCTTCCAGGTGGAAAAATTTCTGGCCTACATTATTGAATATTCCTTTGCACTGAGAAATATGGGTCATATTGTGGATGTAAAATGTGTTGCGAATATCTTTATATTTGATCTGAAATCTTAAATCAGAGATTTGTTGTTCCAATGATAATCATTATACCAATGATAATCATTATAACAAATGATATCTAAATTAAAAATATGGATATTTTGGCTGATACCAATATTTAACAATCACTAAACTAGTGGTCGACTGATATGATTTTTTAAGAGAAGAGGATGACCCAATGCAAACATACATGATACAAAGATTGCTGAATTAATTGACAATATTTAAAATCCGCAAAAAAAAAAGTGAAAAAAAGTAAAAAAGCTGGATATTATTATATTATATTATGAACTGAATGAAACTTAATATTTATTCAAAATTCACAAAAAAAGGAAAAACAGAAACATCATTATAATAAAAAAAAAAAACAGAATTATATTATATTATATTATATTATATTATCCAGGAGAATATCATGTCATAAAAAAAGGTTCTCAGTGTTTGAAAAAAAATATATAAAAATAAATAAATAAAGCTAATATGTTAAGTGCAAATACAAATGCAAATCTAAGAATTATCTAAGAATATTTAGCATCTCTAATGTCAAACTGAAAACCTACTGAGCTCCAGTACCTTATTGATCGCCATTAGGAGGAAGTGGTCGAGAAGGACACGGGCCTCTGATAGAGTGCATGAGCTGATCACAGCAGAGACGTCCACTGTATCTCCCTCCTCCTATAGCGGAAAAAAAAGGTTTTGAACAATGTAATCAAAGTTATCTGTCCCACAATGCAGTTTTTTCATCATAAATGGGGACTGCTGGTAGATTATTATTATTTTACTGTGTGTATTAGGGTGTAATACTGTGTATGACATCATTTCCTGTGTCCCATAAGCACCTTGGCCTCTTCCATCTGCATGATGTTGGCCTGGCAGTCTGCAATGCTGTCGTTGATGTAGTCGATGTTAGCGGTCAGTGACTCCATCTCTTCGGTAAGAGATAGAACAGTCCTATCAGCATCTGTGTCTTCGCTGGCAATTTTGTCCCTCTTCCTCAACACCTTCTCTCTGCGTTTGGTCAACTCCTCACGTTGCTGTACACGCAGAATTTAAAAAAATAGTTTGTCAATTAACTCAATCTCGAATTTGCATGAGACCACGAGTTTACATTTTGTCCTGTTTGATGAAATTTCTTTAGTAATAATAAAAGGCTGTTCTTGGTCACCTTAAGCAAGCGGTTCATGTCAGTCTCCATATTGGAGATGGTCATCCTCTGCATGATGATGTCACTAATGCGCCGCTCCAGCGACTGCCATTTGGCCCGCGCCGTCCTGGTAGAGTACAGCCCTCCTGTTCTCATCTGGTGCTTTCTGAAATACAAATATCATGACCACATCAGTCACTCAGATACCCAAGAGCCAGCCCTTCTGAAATGAAACGCACATCACCTTGTCCCATTAGGAGCGGTGGCCCCAGTGGTTTGTGGCCGGACCGGAGCCGTACGGGGTGAAGACTCCTGCAAAGGCTCCGGTAAACTGATCTTACGGTTAACCTTGCCTGATGCTGGTCGCACCTGGCGCCTCAGGGCAGTTATCTGATTCAAAGAAGCAGGAAAAAAGTCTTAATATTTTTCTATAGGTGTTGCACTGTGAGTGATTAAAGGGATGGTTCACCCAAAATTTAAGATAAATGTCATTATTTACCCTCATATTGCTCCAAACCCATAAGACTTTTGTTCATCGAAACACAAATGAAACACAAACTGAAACCTGAACGATTCCACACTTTTTGATTTTTTTCCTTTATTTATTTTCTCTATTTATTTTTGTATTTCTTATTCTTAACTTTTTTAAATCATTGTTTAATCTTTCATTTAATCTTGCAATTGTTTTTTTTATTTTTATAAATAAATAAATACATTTATTTATATTTTAGTAATAATAAAAGGCTGTTCTTGGTCACCTTAAGCAAGCGGTTCATGTCAGTCTCCATATTGGAGATGGTCATCCTCTGCATGATGATGTCACTAATGCGCCGCTCCAGCGACTGCCATTTGGCCCGCGCCGTCCTGGTAGAGTACAGCCCTCCTGTTCTCATCTGGTGCTTTCTGAAATACAAATATCATGACCACATCAGTCACTCAGATACCCATGAGCCAGCCTTTCTGAAATGAAACGCACATCACCTTGTCCCATTAGGAGCGGTGGCCCCAGTGGTTTGTGGTCGGATCGGAGCCGTACGGGGTGAAGACTCCTGCAAAGGCTCCGGTAAACTGATCTTACGGTTAACCTTGCCTGATGCTGGTCGCACCTGGCGCCTCAGGGCAGTTATCTGATTCAAAGAAGCAGGAAAAAAGTCTTAATATTTTTCTATAGGTGTTGCACTGTGAGTGATTAAAGGGATGGTTCACCCAAAATTTAAGATAAATGTCATTATTTACCCTCATATTGCTCCAAACCCATAAGACTTTTGTTCATCGAAACACAAATGAAACACAAACTGAAACCTGAAAGATTCCACACTTTTTGATTTTTTTCCTTTATTTATTTTCTCTATTTATTTTTGTATTTCTTATTCTTAACTTTTTAAAATCATTGTTTAATCTTTCATTTAATATTGCAATTGTTTTTTGTTTTTTTTATAAATAAATAAATACATTTATTTATATATTCACACACACGCACACACACACAAACACACACATGAATGAATGAATGAATTCTGCATTTATATAGTGCTTTATTGTGTATTGTTGTACACCCAAAGCGCTTTACAATCATATGGGGGGTCGCTCCTCGACCACCACCAGTGTGCAGCATCCACACTCGCATACACACACACACACACACACACATGTTGATCAATGATTTTATGCAAATACAAGCCTAAATTAAATCTGTTTATCATGCTCACTTCATATGGATTACTTTTACAATGTCTTTATGAACTTTTTGAAGCATCGAAGTCTTAATGGAATGGAATTTCAATGGAGGGACAGAAATCTCTGTTTCAAAATGGAATGAAAGTCTTACAGATTTGGAACAACACGAGGCTAAGCAACTTATGACAGAACTTTCATTTTGGGGTGATCTATCACTTTAAGATTTCATGTGAGACAAATTTTATTTGATTTTAAGTAAAATAAAAAAAAGAAATGCAATTCAATTCACTTTAATTATATTGCCATAAACTGTTTAATTACTTTCTTAAAATCAATAAGACTTAAATAATGTACATTAGAGATTAGTCAGGATGGTTAACCTCTAGACTAAAAAAATAAATAAATAAACAAACAAAAATGACTAAATAAACAAACATGGTTTGGTTTAGTGATAACTGTGGGACTGTCAGCATGCTAAAACTCTCTCTGAGAAGTAGCGTCTCTACAGCCATCACACCAGTGCTTTTGTAAAAAAACAAAAAAAACCCCGTAACTCCCAAATAATCCTGGTTCTGTCACCTCCTCTGCCCTCCTGCGCAGAATGAGCTCCTGCTGTCTCTTTTGAGCCTCAAGCTGCCTTAGCTGGTGCTAAACGAGACAAGAAAGAAAACAAAAGAAGAGAATGAGCAGGAATTGTGTCTGAGAATTCCCCATAATTCTCTGGGGCTGTTCAGGGTACAGTGTGTCACCTCCTGTTTGCGATGGTCTTTCTTGAGTGTGGCGATCTCTCGGTTGCGGCGGGTCTCTGTGACTCGGTTCTTCTCCTGCTGTTCCTTCATCTGTTTCATCAAAACCACCTGAGCGAAACAAAGCCACCATGACAATGATTACACCTCGTTGCTGCTGTGAGTGGAAACGGCCCAACACAAACACACACAAACAAGCCTACCTTGGTTTTCTTCATCTCAGTCACTTCCTGCTGTAGCTTCCTCAGCTGTTTCTCGTACTGTGATTGGTTCTTCAGCAGGCGTGCATGTTCTTTTTGTGCCGACTGCAGCTTCTGCAACTCCTTGTTCATGGAGTTCAACTTCTTCTCGTATTCGGACTTTATCTTCTTTGCTTTCTCCTCCGTACATGACTCCACTGAGCCTGCACAGAAATGTGATTAGAACAAATTATATATTTGTTGCAGTTCTGCGACTGTTAAGCAGTTGTGCAACTTACATTTTGCTTATGGCTTGCTTTGTTTAAGCGTGTGGTGTGTAAAAGGCCTATAACCTTTTTTTTTAAGTTATGCTTTTGCATTTTCATTCCAGCTGTTTTGAAATCCAACCAGAAGAGGGCACAAGAGATTTACTGAGAGTTGAATGCTACAGGTGCATGATTTCATTCAAAATGTGATCATCTTTTTTTGCATAGTTTGTTATACTGTATATAGCCATATACTGTGTGTGTGTGTGTGTGTGTTGTACCCATGTTTTGCAGTACACGGTCTCTCTCCTGCTGTGTGTCTCTGATTTTGCTCTGCAGCATCATGAGTTTCTGCTCATACTGTTGTTTGAGCGTGTGCAGACGCCTCTGACTGTTCTCCAGTTCATCGATCAGCCGCTGTTTGATGGCGATCTCACACGTGATGTTGGCCAGATCCGCCTGGAAGTCCTCTGTTAACACACAAATGCATAGAATTAAGGTTTTTAACCTCAACAAAAGCAAGACTTATCAAGTTAAATAATTAAATTAATTAAAATGAAATTAAAATTAACCCTCTGGGCCTCTTCGGTCATTTTTGACCAAAAAAATGTATATTTCGAAATTGTAAAAATCATGGCTTCATCGGAATGAGATGACACTTGGTGACTTTTGTCACATTAGCTATGTGAACACACAAAAAAAAAAATCATGGACATGATTCGGATATGTTAAAGGGTCAAACAAAAAAAAAGTCACACTTGGCTCCTTCGCGGTCAAAAATGACCGACAGGAAATGAATGGGAAATACGAAAAGTCAGAGAATCTTTTGGTGGTACAAACTACAAATCAGCCACTATGCAGAAAAAAAGTGCACAGCAATCAAGGGGTGACTCTCTAAAATATCAAGAGTGCAAAATAGACACCCACGCGCGCGCACACACACACACACACACACAGAAATGAACTGGTAAGACTGCAACAGAGCAATTTTTGTAGAATATGTGAAATAAAATGAATAAATAAAAAAAAGATTCTCCTCTCTCTCTCTCTCTCTCGCTCTATCTCTCTCTCTCACACACACACACACACAAACAAACACAGAAATGAACTGGTAAGACTGCAACAAAGCAAATTTTGAGAATATTCAATGATTGATTTAAATCATAATGCAAAACCTGATATTTATCTAACCAAAAATAACTAAACCTTGAGAAAAAGTAGTATTTTAGAATGTTCCCATTGGAAACAATGGGAATCCAAAGGCCTCTGTATATAGGGAACTATACAGGAGTTGACATGACATTACACAAGTTTAAATTTTTTATGCCACCAGATGGCACAATTCTCACTTTTTAACATGACATATTGCATTAATTGAAAAATAATAAATAAACAATGAAAATATATTAATTCTAATGGAAAAAATAGCACATTAAAATTGTATAAATATTGCATAGTATCATAAAATCCCCTCAAAATTTTAAATAACAATCAAAAAATATCATTAAACAAAAATGTATTACACTGATTCTCCTGAAAAAAAAAAAAAACATTTCAAGGCTTCGGTCACTTTTGACCGCGAAGGAGCCATGTGTGATCCCTAAACGAAGAGGCCCAGAGGGTTAAATTTAAAAAAGGTTTAAAATTAACATTTTCATTAAATGTTTTATTATATTTATAGTATAAAATCATGTAATAAATATTAAACAAAGGACGTTAGAAAAGCTCATGTGCCACAAATATTGAACTTCTATCCACTACAGATTATACAACCATTAACTCTCAGATGATTGTAAAACAACAACAACAACAAAACAATGCAATCTATGCCTGCAGAATAGATTATCATAGCTTTAAGTGGCTTTTTTATATACAGTATATACTGTATGTTGTGTCCCTTAAATTTACTTTAAAAAAACAAACCACTTTTTCATAAAAAAACAAAAAACAAGGTTAATTGTCTGGAAGACTTAACCAACTTTAAAAAAAATAAACAAATAAATAAATTCATTAAAAAAAAAGATCTGAACCATTACAGATTAAATGCAGGCATTGTACCTTTTTCCTCCTCAGAGTCAGACTCATCAGAGCTGTCTACCTCCATCTCATCCTCCTCTTCATCACCCTCAGCTTCCTCACCTTCATCATGGTCACTCGCATCCTGCAAGAGTATTGGCATTATTAGAAGCTAATTTTTGCCTGACAGAATCTCAGACACAGTGAATGATCAATAAATTAAAACAGCATATCTTTTGTACACACAGGAGAGAGTTTAACTTACCGCTTCTGGCTCCTCATTTGCTCTTTCAGAGGCCTCTTTATCCTGCTCATTATCTGGCCCCTCCTCCTTTATGACACTGCATGACGTCATGAGAATATCATTAAACCTATTACTGTACATCAAACTCAATAAAAACAAACCCCTTAATACCATCATTTGCATAAAGACCCCATGGAATCGTTGACGGTCACAATTCTCTTTGCACTGCTGATGTATGTCCTATTGAAGGATCATCCGAAAATGTTTATTTTGATTTGATGGGGTCTTTGAAGCTCAAATTACTTGATTCCAAGATCTATTAATAACTGATTACATCATTCAGTGTTAGTGATTTAGCTGAGCCTATTACAATGTTCGACTCTAAAGCAACATCACATATTGATCAACATGAATGTGAGTTGATTACACATATTAAAGGGCTACCTACCAGAATAAAACTTGACTAAATGAGAGAGATTTTGATAAAAGACTCTAAAGCTTTGTTCCAAACCCTAGTGAGCTAGCTGCCTAGACAACATTTTAAGGCAACATAGATTTGCTCCTGACTAGGGATGTAATGATGCACCCCGAGCCGGTTGAAAATCAATACAAATATGTGACGATTCAAGTCGGTTGAGATGTTAAACGAATTGCGATACATTTGGGGTTGGGAGTTTATATGAACATATCTCTGAGAGGAACGGACTGACTTAAGAAAAGTTTAGATGGTATTTTCTTGTCTCTGTATAATGCATATTAAAGTAGTGTTTATAAGCGCTGCGCTACTTTGTTTACAGCGGCAACCAAGGAAACGCAGTATTGCTGCTGTTCCATAAGCGCCACCTGCCTAAAGAGAGTGAATTTGCATTTTCATTCACCCCATCTGCTGTTTTCGTTTCGTGCAGATATGTTTTATGTAGTATAGTTTCACAAAGCTAAAGTAAGAGAATTCTGTTTTTGCTTCACATTTCGAAATTATACAATCTAATTTAGATTAAAACCTGCTCATGCTGCATGTATGCAGCATCTTTGTTTGGATCAAGATTAAAATACAGTGGTTTCCTCTCATTTTAAATGGAAAGAGCACATGGAAAGCCTTAATTTGTTCATACGAAGAGATTTCTTGTATTTGTATTATTTATTCATTTGATTTGGGGTTTGTCTTAAAATTTCAGTTTAGTTTTGTTATTTGACATATTTCAATTTCACAAAGAAATGTGCAGCATTTTGACCAAGCAATATAAAAGGACACCTTTTCATTAATAATTTGTCTTAAATCTCAATTTGTAAAAAAAAAAAAGAAAAAAAAGAAAAAAAGAAAATGGTATCGTGAAATCTGTATCGTGAGTTGAGTGAATCGTTGTATCCCTACTCCTGACATAATTATGCTGCCTTTTAAGATGTGTTCTTTTGACCCACATTTAAGGCAGTATCGCATAAATATAAGGCAATTCAAGATCCCACATTGTAAGTTCATTGATATTTTTATTTGTATAGATTTTTAATGACATCTATTTGAGTGTGCTATGTATTTTTATGCTTAGCAAAGCATCAAAACATTAGCTTAGTAGCATGCTATCTATTATAATACTGAGACGTCACTGAGTGCAGACACGATTCAATCAAAATAGTTAAATCTCATTGCAAATGGACTATTTCACCCAATAATTGTAAACTATGTATTATCTATTATGTTTTTAGTCACCAAGTGTTAGCTTAGCAACATGCTAATGTCAAACTTTACAGTGTGCTTAACCTGAAGAGTGCTACTCGGTGCTGCTGACTATGTACTGTAGGTACTAGACACAAAGGCAGCTCACTAGGACTTGAAACAGGTTCACAAACACTAAACCATCGAACCGCTGATGTTTTGAAGTGTTATATTAGAGAAGGAGAAAGTACAATGGGTCAACTTTTCCATGGTGCGGTGACTACGGTTAGTGGAACAACGGCATTTAATGACATTCTCCAACCTGACGTTCTCAAGATCTTCATGAGCACCTTCATCCATCTGCTGGAGTCTTCAAGAGTGAGGGGTTTTGGTGGAGGTGAGGTGAGGTGAGAGTAAGAGCAACCACAGGGCCAAAGATGATGGCAGAGAAGAACACGTGAGGTACAGGAATACTTACAAATTTTCCTCTTTTTTTTGATTAAAAGAATCAATGTACTTTTGTATTAAACTTAAACTACAGTGTTTTATACTTAAAACATTTACCTATATTCAATAGTTTTATATAATTTTGTACAGTAATAATAATAATAATAATAATAATAATTCTATGACTAAATGACATTAATTTATGACTAACTTATACTAAATTATGACTATTTTAGTTGCAATAACCAATTGCCATTGGTCAGCTACCTTTACCATGTTGCATGTGGATTTCAGCTTTAAAATAAGTTACAAAAATGTAAGATTTTTTTTTTTTTTACTGACTCAGGGAAACTGATATAACCAAGCTGACAAATGCATGTGTGTGAAAATGTCAGGGAAGTAGAACTTGTGACAAAGATGGACAGTCACACATGAATGCATTTGCTTTACAGCATTTTTCCAATGTTTCCTATTGGAAGCAAGTCATCACAATAAGGATGCCTGTGAGGAAGCATAGAAATTGTATACCACATATTTGAGGCATACAGCAGACCAGAACCATCCCTGACACACCCTCCTTTGTCCAGGGATAAAAAGGAAATCGGAGTTTCGTGTTCCTCAGCTGCATGGTTATAAGCATCAATGTCAGTAGCTTACCTCTTCTTTTTCTTCTTCTTCTTTTTCTTCAGTTTCTCCAGGTCTTTCTTTGCGATTTCAATGATTTCTGTGGCGTCTTTTTCGGGTGCAAGGTGGCCGGGGGTAATGGAGGTCGGACCGTAAAATGAGGAGCGCGTGGAGGCACGGGACAGGTTCTTCCGCAGGGTTTCATTTACAGCCTCACTCTCCAGTAGCTTTGCCCTGAAGACCACATAACACACATAAACATTATTACACATATAGAGAAGTTATAAGAACTTCTGAGATATGGGTGTGCGGTGTTTGCATGCATTACCTGAGCTCCTCGATCTCTTTGATGTAATTCTGGATCATGTTTCCGATCTCTTCATTCCCTTCACCTGCAAAAAGTCAAAGAACATTTTACTGGGTATGTAAAAACAGCACAATAATGTATTTTAGAGACGAAGGAAATGATCCCTCTTGTGTCTAGGAGATCTTAATCCATCTAGATAAGTAACAATTTTTTTTTCTTAGTATTCAACCCTATTACTAAAACATTTTGCAACCATTTCCAAAATGTGTCTGAAAACAAAACACACCCAGAATAGACAACAGGGTCCGCTTTGCCCTTTTTAAATATTTTCTGGTTGTAAACATTAAACATACAGAATAAATATAATAATGTATTTTAACAAAACAAACAAACAAAAAACAAAACAAAACAACAGGGTTGCAGTCTAGGACTATCTGCCGAATTACAGTTATTTATACACTTATATTTCCCACAAATAAAATGTACATAATATCTACATACATCTATATACATGTACATATACTGTATATATATTTTAAATTTTTCATTCATTCATTCATTCATTCATTCATTCATTCATTCATTCATTCATTCATTCATTCATTCATTCATTCATTCATTCATTCATTCATTCATTCATTCATTCATTCATTCATTCATTCATTCATTCATTCA